AATTTATTATTATTTTATAGCCCAATTAGATCCATAAGTGAGATAATGGATGACACATGTAAGATAACATTATTTTGAGACATAAAAAAAGTAACAAAAAGTTGTTTCTAATATTTAACTCGAATCTTTCTCATCAGATAATCAAACTGCTGATTTACAATTAGATGACTATTTCTAATTATGAAATTAAAAAAATACTCTATTCTTTTGTGATTCAATATTCAATTCATGTAATTAAATTTACTTTTCATTATTAAACTTATAATTCTTCATTTTTTATTCTAAATTTTAATGTATTTCTTTGATTATTATTGAATCATATAAAAACTATAGATGTTAATCAAAATATGATATTAATAATATAAAAAATAACTGATGGATTGGAGAAATAAATTAGAATTGATTCAAAATAAAATAAGAGGCTAATTACATGCTCGTAAAATAGATGATTTGGAAGGAGTATATTAATTAATGTCAGAATTTGATAAAGATAATTCTGGTATCTTAAAATATCTAATTTAGGTTATTTGGATAAAGATGAATTCTAAAAATTTCTATCTAAAATTGGTGTCTTCCTTACAACACAAGAATTAAGAGCAGTCTATGATAAATATGATTCAAATAAAGATGGAAATATAGCTTATGCTGAATTTGTCAATCTTATAAGAGAAAATATGAGCGAAAGAAGAATCAATGTTGTCAGAAGCACTTTTGCATTTCTTGATTAATAAAGATAAGGAAGACTATTATTAGAAAACTTATATAGACTTTATTAAGCAAAAAATCATCCAAGAGTAAGAACTAGATAAAAGACTGCAGATTAAGTTACAAAAGAGTTTGTAAATGCTATATCAAAAAGAAGCAAAGATTGTTAAAGTATAAGTGAAGATGAATTCCTTAATTATTATGCTGATTGTAATGCAACTCTACCCAGTGAAAAAGAAGAATATTTTACAGATGTATTCTTTATTATATTATTTATAGTTATTGACTTCTACTTGGGGAGTTACTTCAGGTGCTGATTATGTTTCTCCAGAAAGACTTGCATAATTAGAAATTATATTATTTGAAAAAATTAGATAGAAAACAGTTACAAAGGATGATGAAGGTAAAACAGCCAAGAAGGCATTTATGTATTTTGATTTAGAAAATAAAGGGACTATTGATATCTATTAATTTGCATAAGCACTTTAAAAGTTTGGTTGTGTTTTTAGTGATAAAGAAATTCAAGCATTATTTAATAAATATGATTCTGATAAAAGTGGAAGACTATGTTATGATGAAATTTGTGGATTGATTGCTTTAATGGGATCTGGAAATAATGCAAATGTTAATCCAGTATTTCAAATTGCTAGAGCTCCACCTTAAGAAACATTAAATAGAATTAGAAATGATTTAATTAAGAAAGGTTAACATTCTGTAATTAGAATGGCTACTATCTTTGCTAATTCAGACAAAAATAAAAATGGAACATTAAATAGATAAGAATTTTAATGGGCTATGAAAGAGTCTGGATTTTTACTTACTAAAACAGAATATGACAATCTATTTAGATATTTTGATAAAAATTGTGATGATGAAGTCTCATTTGTTGAATTCATTAGTTTCTTAAGAAGTATTTTATCTATATTAATATAAAGAACCACTTACTTAATTTAGATTAGATCTTGTAAATTAATTTTGGAATAGAATATCAAATGGACAATCATCAATATCAATTTAATAACTTAAATGTAAATTATACATAAATAATATTTATAGAATTATATGATGCTACTAAGTGTTAAGATGTAACTTTAGGTATAAAAACTGTAGCTGATGCTACTAAAGATTTTAATGATATATGGAAAGATGTTTAAACTGTTACTTAATAATAATTTATTGATTATTTAACTGATATTAGTGCTCTTATAGAAAGTGAAGCAATTTTTGAGAAATTCATTAGAAATTCATGGAAATGAATATAAAATAATATACATTTATATATATCTATTTATTATTAAATGTTTCTTAAAAAACATGATATAGAAATTATTAGAAAACTCTTCAAATTAAAATAAATAATATAAATTATAAATTTAATTGTATCATAAATCATTTTAAAGCTAATTTTTAGAACAGCCACCACAACAACATGTTACATATATGAATGCACACAAAATAAAGAGAAATAATAATAATTTATTCAAAATTTCCTATTATGAATAGATTCCTAAACTAGTCAAAAAGGCCATTTAATTTTTTTTACTGTTTGTGTATGGTGGATATCTAATAAATAAAATATATATATTTGATACCTTGCTGATGGATCAATTATGGATTTTTCAAGAACAGGTTTAAGATGTTAACATTAATCAAATCCAAATTTACTACCACAAACTCCATAACCACTATCACCTACTCCTCCAAATGGCAATTCATGATTAATTAAATGAAAGATACAATCATTAATACAAACACCTCCTGATGATGTAGATTCAAGAATAGCATTTTTATGAACTTTATTTGTACCAAAATAATAGAGAGCCAATGGTTTAGGTCTAGAATTGATAAAATTAATAGCTTCTTCAATCTTCTTATATGTAATTATAGGAAGTATAGGTCCAAATATCTCATTTTTCATTAATTCACTATTAGGATTTGGATTAATAATGAATGTTGGTTCAATCCATTTTTCTTTTAAATCATATTAACCACCATGAACTATCTTACCTCCATGATTATTTAAATATTCAACAATTCTATTAGTATGAAATTCATTAACTATTCTATTAAGACATTCAGATTTCTTAGTTTCTGGTCCATAAAAGTCTTTTATTTATTATTTAAATATATTAACAACATTATCTAATATAGATTCTTCAACTAATAAATAATCTGGAGCTACACATGTTTAACCACAATTATATAATTTTGTAGAAATTACTCTTCTTCCAGCCAAAGCTAAGTCACTTGAAGAATCAATAATACAAGGTCCTTTACCACCTAATTCTAAGATACAAGGCACCAAATTTTCAGCTGCAGCTTTAGCTACAAGTTTCCCTTTTTCAGTTCCTCCAGTAAAAATAATAAGATCAAAAGGTTATTTAGTAATATTTATTGCAACATTAACTCCTCCTTCTATAACACGATATAGAGATTAATCTAAATAATTTGTTATTAATTTTGCTAAGACATTAGAAAGATGAGGAACCATTTCAGAAGGTTTTAAAACAACAGCATTTCCTGCACCAATTGCTTATGCTACTTAAGGTATACAAGTGAATATTGGATAATTCCAAGCTCCTATAACTAAAACTACACCATATGGTTCTGGTATTAAATAGCTTGTTCCTGGAGCAGCCATTATAGATGTGCTAATAGATCTTTTGGCTGTATATTTGTATATATTGTTAATGTCACTTTCAATATGAGTTAGAACTGCTTAATATTATACTAATTCACAAAAGAATTAATCTTAATATCCGAGATCCTATAGTATAATCAAAAAATTTATATACCTTCTTAAAAGCTTCATAAAATTCATTTCTTAATTCCTTAAGACCATTGAGTAGATTATGTAATTGTTATAGTCTAAAAGTAATTGGTCTAGACTTTTTAGTAAGGAAATTTGCTTTGAGTTCTTTAAGGGTTGGAACTATTACTGATACGTCATCCTTAATCATGGAATTTAGATTTTAAATAATTTACTGTATTAAATAAAATAAATTAGGAATGTTCTTTTTTTATTTTGCATCATTAATATATCTATTAATAGCATAAGGAGAAGAAGAAGAATCTTTTGATGATAATGACTTTTTAAGACCACCACCTGATGATGAGGGATCTTTGGCACATCCATTACATAGAACTTATTTATAGGATTCATATTGTATGGATGGAACATAAGCAGCTGCATATGTTTTTGAAGGAAGCACTGATGATTTAATTATGTATTTTTATTCTGGAGGTATCTGTATTGAAGATAGTACAAAATTTCTAAAATATGGTGATTATGCATATATTGATAATTGTACTTATAGAAATACAACATTTTATGGCACAAGTAATGGATATCCAGAAGAATTTAATGCAAATTAAGGTTTAATGGGAAATAATAAATATTAGAATGTACATCTTAGAAAAGCACATAAAATGTTCTTAATGTATTGTGATGGCAATATGTGGTATTAACAAATGAATCCTTAAGTATTTAAAGGATCATTATTATAAATGAAGTTAATTCCTAAAAGAATTATATTAGCAGGATCTGGTGTAGGAGGATGGTATTTAGTAAATAAATATAATGAATTAAGAACAGTTATTAAAGATTTATATTAAGAAGAAGAAGTTGAAATAAGAATACTTCTTGATAGTGTTATATTTGATATTTCAAGAAATAAAGATATTATTGATGCATATACTGAAGCAACAAAAAGAGCAGGTATAACAATGAATGATATCTTCTCTTTTGATGCTCTAAAAAAAGTTGATATTCCAACATTTATAGTACATTCTCAATATGATTGGTGGTAATTAGAAATTTGTGATGGTTTTGAATGCATAGGTAAAATACATTTAGATAAATGTACTCCTAAAGAAAAAAAATAGATAGAAAAGATTAGATTAAATATTTTATAATAATTAAAAGATTTAATGAAATCAAAACCAGATTGGGGATTATGGGCTATAAGTTGTGTTTTTAATGAATTAGTTATATGGACTGAATCATGGAATCATCCAAAATTCTAAATTCCTATGATGAAAGGAGGATTACTATCTGATAAATTTTAAGAGTATATATATATAAATTAGATTATTTTTAGTTGGCTAGAAAATAGAGTAGATAATAATGTACATTATGATATTGTGTCATGGCCAGATAATAAACCATGTAGTAATATCTATCATAATGGAAAGATTGATCCATAATTAGATGAAATGATGAGGAATTATGAGATTAAAGAGTCAAGGAGAAAAAGAGAAGAAAAATATGATTTGTGAAATATAATTAATTATTTAATGGAAGAAAGCATCTATAATATAATAATAGAAGATCCACTTCCATCTAAGAGATAAAAAAAATATAAATCCTAATTTCCAGGTACAATATAACCATCTTATAGTACATTTGCTAATCATTCAAATGTTATTTAGGTATATTTATGAGTATATATACTTAAGATTAAAAATATAAGTGGTGATTACTAATTATTATCTTAAAGATATGCATCTGAAAGTGGAACTATAGGAAAACCAAAAACATGTTTATAATCAAATTCTATTATTTAGAACATCTTTCACCTATTAAACCAAGAATTATGGGTACAAATAATTTAGAAGAATGGATAGAAAAGGGATCTCTTTCAAGAAGTAGAGAAATACCACATTCTCATAGAAATAAATTGAAACCTCTAGTTCCTAGATCTATTGAAAAACCTACTATGGGATTATAATCTAATAGAAATTTCATTGCTACAAATAAGATTGATGTTATTCTAAAATGTAATTTATAACATTATTTTTAGCTCCAAAATAACAATAATAAGAATTGAATTGGCTAACTAAAAAAGATTATGGTTAAATACCATTATATTTGAGTCAAATAAAAGATTAAATTTAATAATCTTATTTAGAAGAATAGGAAAATGTTAAGCGATAATTGGAAGAATAAAATGATAAATTGTAAATATTTAATATAAATTAGATAATTATTATAAGAAGAAGAATTATAATAAATTAGAGAAGGTTTAAAATAAAGATATGATGAAGTTAATAAATAATATTAATAATATACTCATCTAAAAAAGTTTGATACTGTTGGATTAAAAAGAAGAAAGGAATAATATGAAAAAGAATTGATTTAATTAGAAAAAGACATGGATAAATTGAAAAAATAATATGTATTTATAAAAAAATGAATATATAAATACATTAATTATTTATAACTAAATAATATTGAATGAATAATTATAATTATAAATGATCTAAGAACTAATAAAAAGAAATTAGATTATTTATTTATAAAATAATTATTAAAAATTTTGAAGTTAAATAGAAATAACAAATAAAATAATAATCTAATTATTTTTAAAATATTGTAATAAAAAAGATGCTATTATTTTGATTAAATTAATTTATATTAAAAAATAATAGATGAATATATTAAAATTATCTATAATTATTTAGAATATTTAATGTATTATTGATAAGATAATGAACAACTTATATGAAAGTAATATTGTATAATATATTTTTATCATGTAATTTGTTTGGTTAATTAAATCCACCTTTTTTATAATATAAATTAAATGATAAAACCAAAAAAGAAATAATAATAAAACAAGATGGAGTAACTAATATAAAATAAGAGATAAGAACATCTAGAATTATTGAATTAATTGGAGAAACTAGAAATATAATAATCAACAAAAGAAATGCAAATTATTTAAACGATTACACAATAATAAAAAAAAGAACATGATATTGAGATTATAGCAGCACCTTAATTAGTTTCACCAAAATGGCTAATGAATTTAAAGCCTAATATGACATATGAATGTGATGTAGTAACTTAAGAAGAGAGTGAATTAGATTAAATTGTTAAGCATCAATTAAAAGAAAAGATTTAAAAGTAGAAAGTAAGATATATATTATTAATAATATAGGAAATGTAATAACAAGCTTATTTAGAATTAATTAATGAATTAGACTTATAATCAAAACATCATGCATATGATGAGAAAGTAAAAGAGGATTTCAAATGCACATATTAATATATGAGTTAAGGTAGATTAGTAAGTATTGACATAAAGTATTATGATTTCTTAAAATTAAATCCTCAGAATTATGTTAATGATACTATAATAAACTTTTTCTTAAGATTTATTGAGAATGATATCTTCAAAAATAAATCTCTATTTATTTACAACACTTATTTTTGTACTAGATTGTTATCATTTCATGCAGAATACAAATAAATTTATACACAATATTTATAGAACAATTAAATGTTATAAAGATGGACTAAAGATAACATCTTTATGAAATAATATATATTATTTCCACTACATTTACGTGAACATTGGGCTGTGATATTTGTAGTTAATCCATTACAAGTTTGCGAATAATTGTGTAATAATAACTATTAATTGAGTACTGATGTGAATAAGAATGGGTATTTAATCTATTTTGATTCACTTCTTATATAGGATTAAAGGATTGGAATTCAAATTAAATTTTATTTAATGCATGTATATAATCTTGAACACAAAAGATATAGTGATGATTAGATCTATGAGATTGTAATGAGATCAACTGTCCCTGTTCATTAGCCTATAGTACCAAGATAGACAAATCTAGTAGACTGTGGATTGTATATGTTAGAATATGTAGAGAGGTTTTTAATGAATCCCTATTAAATTCTTAATAATTTGGAATAGGATCACTTGAAATGGTTTCCAAAAGTGATGATTTTTATTAAACGCATATTAATTAAAAAAATATTAAATGCCTTAAGTTCTGGATAAAAAGATTATGCAATTAGATACCAAGAAAATTGCAGAATGATTGATCAATAATTCAGTATTTATTTATACATTATTATATATTAGCTGACTCAAATCAATATGATTACATTGATGAGTAATTACTAGAATAATTGTAAGTACCACGTTTATAATTTCATTTAAGCGAAGATTATAATTACTATTATGATGTTTCGCCTAGTGTTGGTGTATGATAAATATATATATATATATTTATGATCATTAATTTGACTATTCATTATTCTCATCTTAAAATTAATCATATCCCATTTAAACTTCTATTTATACTTTCTCTTTTTCTTTTGCATTTTTCATTCTCTATTCTAATTACATATTCAAATTCTCTTATTTTAATTTACGAGCTTTTCTATAAAAAGAACATAAACAACAAAGCCTAATAAATATATATCTTAATATAATACATGCTGAATGTAAATACTACTAAAATAAATAAAGCAATTAAGAATTCATAAAAACGATGTTTATACATATAGAAAGCATTCTTAGGTAATCCTACTTCTGCAATATGATAATATAATTCATAATCACTTATAGGAATATTATTGAATTATAAAATAGAAGCTCTAACAGAAATATATAATTAATTATGTAATGATTATTTATCTACTGTAATATTTACAATTATTTCTTCAGTTTAATTCAAATAATAATTACCTACATCTTTTTAATCAAAATGTTCTACTTATAATTTATTCATATTATTATATTAATGATATTGACATAGTCCTATGATATGAGAATATTCAACACTACTACCCCAATTTACATAATATTTAATAATACTATTATGTTCTTATTACATATCACATCCTGCACATTTTATTGGTTTAAATTTAATACTAATTATATCTGGATCATTTGTACCAAATAAATAATTGATTTATCCATCTCCTCCTAAAATCAATTAACCATATGGAATTTTATCAAATTAATTATACAATTTAGTAGTAAACTTATAAACACTTTTATTGGATTAAAATTAATAATAAATTGGACCAGGTTTTACTGTTAATAAAATATCAGTTAATTATCCTTCCATAGTATTCTTAGTTCCATTATATGAATTCTTCAAAAATTAATCATAATCTTAAGTTATAGAAACATTCAAATCTCCAAGACAATTATAAACTTGAATTGCTAATTTACCATCTCCTTGAATATATGATTCATAATATTTTGGTCTCTAATCAACTATCATATCTATTTGATTAGAATTCTGATTTATCATAAATACATCCTAACCAACAATACTTATTTATAAATCTATTCTATTTAAATAATTATTTGAAAAATAATAAAGTCTAAATTATGGTTATTTAGGAATAGGTATAATATCTCCTCTTGGATTGAATGAATATTCTACATGATTGAATTCATTAGTAGCAATCTCTAATAAACTATGTATTTTTATTGTAAGCATACCTTCAAGTACTGGAAGAATATAAGTTAATTAATTATTACGAATTGAGAAAGCATGAATAATAGTAAAATTATTTGTTTATGTATCATTAGATACTTCTATTTTGAAATAATTTTCATATGATAAATTATTTATATTTCCATATGGATTTACTTTGACAAATAATTATAGTTATTATGATTAATTTTTTTATTAATGATAAAATGTTATTGAAGGTGTAAGTTTACTCAAATATGCTTATGTTATTATTCCATCCTGTAATAATTAACCATTTCCAGTTGTAGATTAAGTAACAATAATAGAATAGTTAGTTTGTCTTTATTAATTGTTTTTAACAATAATATAAATATCATCATCATTATAATGACCTAAAAGAGTTTGATTTCCATTAATTTATTAAGTTATTTTATAATCTTTATCATTCTCTTCTAAATGTTATCTTGGAGGTATGATGGCTTAATAATAAGAAATTTATTCTGTAATATTCATTAATTTCATTTATTTAATTGTATTATATGGTCCATAAAAATAGTTTGAACTATTCAAATCTGCATGATATCCAATCCACATTTAGGTATCACCATTATATTAATTGATTTATATTTCTATTTGATGATCTGTATCATATGAATAATGATAAATATTATAATCATCTGGACCATCCAAAAAATCAGTAAATGCTATATTCTAAGGTAATTGAACAAAATTTAATTATGATGTAATTACTAGTATTAAATCTAAAGAGATATCAGTAGTTTTGATCTTTATAATATATGTACATAATTCACAATATCTTTTTGTATCTTATTTATGTATTATATGTTGACTATAGGATTGACCTGCTAATAATTATTCATTTATTATTATTTCTTATTCACATGCTATTTTAGTATCATCTAAACATCTACTTACTTCAATATATGTTTAACCTTACATTTTTATGAATTTAAAATATAAATCATCATTACTTTATATATTGAAATATTAATAAAAATATTCCTCTTAAATATTCATTTTAATTCTTGTAGGAATTCCTAAAACTAATTTATGATTATTTTTATCATTAAATATTTCTAATTATAATTAAAATTTACTAGTATTTACTAATGAAAATACTTTTATTATTATATAAGGATTTTGATTAAGTTTAAATTCATTTAATTTCTATTAAATTTATTATTATGTTAATTCTAATACATTTCCTAATATTTAGAATTCACACATTTCTAAATTTTAATTGTTTTCATCATTGAATGATAAACAAATAGTACCTTTACCATAAATTTCATGTAAAATTAATTTCATTTTTGATTCAGTTGATATTTCATTTATTTAACTATAAATGAATTTTCTAGGAGAATCTTAATTTACTTGTATTTAAATTGGAATTCCTGTTTGTATATCCATAAATTCTTAAGTAACTGTTACATAAACTAAATCATCAAAATCTAAACTTCTACCTATTTGAGTAATATTATATTCTTATTGCTATGCCTCAAGTGAAATTTTTAATAAACAATTCTTCTTACAAAATTCAAATGCACTCTTATAAATACTTTTAGAATGTTATGTTTTGTATTCTTCTTTTGCATATAAAGAAATAGCTTATTAATTTTAAGTGTCAATAATTTCTATTTAATATCTAGTATAACCATAATGTGAATTAATATTTAATTAAACATCAGTATCATTAGAAATAATTTTATAATATAAAAATGTTTGTTTTGATAAGTATTCTAAATTAAATTAATATTATTGACCATCCTTCATTTCTATTCTTGACTCAGGATTCCATATATTCAATTAATATAAAATATTCTCTTATCCCTTATTCTCAATAATTACATAACTTTAACAAAACAATATTGCATTTTAATCCTCCTCTTCTTCTTCTTCCTTCAATTCATCTCCTAATCCATTTAAACATAATTTATTTAATTGAAGTTATTCCAATAACAATGTACTAGAATGCTCTTTCTTATAATATATGGGTCCTTAAGAATTTAATGAAATTTCATTAGTTACTTTCAATATCAAATTTTGAGCATCCTTACCTTACAAACTAATATAAAATGATGATGTATTTTTACTATAATAAAAACTATAGTATTTACTCTTCCTTCCATATGCCATATCTACAAATTATTAACCAACATGTAAAGTTTTAACTGTTCTACTTGTTGAATAAGTTAATGTATACATGATTTCCTTATCTGTTGCTATGTCATAAAAATTGAGAATCCCAATAGTATAGTTTCCTTAATTTATATAATATTCGTCTTAAGGTGTAATAGATAGATAATTATTTTGAGTGATCAAATCATATTATTCTAAAGATGGTAGTTGATTACCTTTACTTAAAACAAGTGCAACTTACATTCTTGATGAATGTATTGCAAATTCAATAGTTGGTGAAGTATCCTGATCTTGGATGACTTCAATATTTTAATCTAATTATTTAGAAATAATTATTCTAAAATAATGAATTTTTTGTTATCCATTAATAAATGATAAGACTCCACGATAAGTTTCATCTTCTTTAATAATTTTAAGATCTATATCTGATTATTTTTATACTTTAATCTAAAATTAATAGAATGTAGTTTCTCTTGCAGTCAGAGTTACATAAAATTAAGTATGCTTTAATTAATCTCCTCTGAGTATAACTAAATGATCAGAACCACCAATATATTTGGCACATTCTTATCTTACAGGATAACAACTACTATCTTTACTAATCATATATACAATATTATGTGTATTAACTGTAAATATTAATTCCACATCTTCAATTTGATGTTAATATTTAACAATTAAATTTTCTTATTATTATTTATCTAAATAATTACTATATGGGATATCTGATTTGATAATATTATGATTTATTTCACTTGCTGTAGATAAAATATACGTATTTTTAATTTCATTAATAATTTATATTTAAAATCTGCAAAATCCTTATTAATCCTTACTAGCACATTCTGGTGTCACATAAACACTTGGATTTTGTTCATGTTAATGAAATCTTAAATTATGTGTATCTTCAGTATTTGTAGTGCAAATTCCATTACATTCTCCTACTTTTAATGAATTCATTCCTTTTTCAAAATATTTTAAAAATACACCAATTTCTTAATCATTATAACTTGTTTTAAATGAATAAATATGGGATCCTTTTTCTAAAATGGTTGCAAGAATAATTAATTATTATAAAGAATAGGTTCATCTAAAATTTTAACTACTAATAAATATTTCAAAGGTCCTCCTTTATTTAATTAAATAATTAATTCATTATTATTGTTAATTTCTGTTTTTCTTAAATGGATATGATAAGTTTATCCTTTTTATTAAATTTAAATAGGTTCTTATGAATTAAAGATCTCAATATCTTAATTATTAGTTACTCTAATGAGAGGTAATAAATCACCAAGAATACCAATTTATATTATATTATATGAAGATGGTAATTTAATTCTATATTAATTCTAATTTCTCTCAAAAAGATAATCTTATATCTCCTAATTAATCTCAATATCTTGAATGTCTCTATATAAATACAATTAAGAACTAATAATAGTCTCTTATTTTAAATTTAAATCTCCACTTAATACAACTAATACTTTGCATTTTTCACAATCCTTACTACTTAATGCTACTAATAATTAAACTTCATCTCCATATAATTTAGCTCTATCATCAAATACTTCTATTTTTATTTTGTCTGATTCATCATCCAATAATTTAAATTCTCCCACCAATCTATCATATTAACTTGGAAGATCCATTTATACAATTAAAGCTGGTTATTTTAGTGTCAAACTCAATTCTTATAGTTAAGTTGACAATTATATTACATCACTATTTACTAATGTTATTCTTCCTTTACATGGAGATGTGATACATTTTAAATTGATTTCATTTGTTTTGGAATTAAATATTGCATTTTCATAAAAGCCAACTATTTTATGTGTGTCATCTACACTTTTCAATTGAATTTCTCCTAAATCATTATTCTTATCATCATCTTAAGGACGAACATATAATATAAAATAATCCTTATCTTATTTAGTGGAGAGGTCTACTGATATTGACTTACCCTCCTTTAAATCAAATAAGAAATCCTTCTATTTTTTAGCCATCACTTAGATGACCATCAAAAATATTCCACTTAAGAGGGTAATCATTAATTAAATTAAATGCATTCATATTTAGAAGAATTAAAGTAAAAAGATGTCATAGCTAAATAAATCAATTTACTCATTCAATAACTTCAATAACATCATTTAACATAATCTCTTGTTCCTAAAAGTCATTAAGATATAGCTGAATTTATGGTACTTAATAGACTTAGAAATATTGACACTTATATTCAATTATGTGAAATGACAGGAAAATGTTTAGGAGAAGCCAGATCAGATATTAAAGAAAATGACAAAAAATTAAATGAACAATTTCATATATAATTATTGTAATTTGGATTATAAAGAAAGAAGGTTGAAAAGAAAACTACACGTAAATAATAAAAAATGCCTATTATTCATATTAATACACCAAGTACTGAATAAGATTCTTGTAGTTTATATAATAAAAAATTAAAGAAAAAGGATAAATATTTAAAATTATAATAAATTATGAATGAAGTACAATCCAAATAATCCTTAAAAGAAAAAGTGAAAATAGAGGAATACTTTTAAAATAAAAAAGTGTAGAAATTATTGTAGATAGATGGATGGAAGATTATTGATTAATCACCACTACATTAACCAATAGCTGATCATTTAATTAAGTAATCCTTACATCAATATTATACATATTGTAAATTAGTTCTTGAGGAATTTGGTGATTTTATTACTATTAAGTCATGATCTTGATTTCTCAGTATTTTATTTTATTCATACATAATTATCAAATTATTAATACTATATTTCTATATAATTTTAACAAACATCTAAAATTTTAAAGAACATCTATATAATGCTAAATAATCAAACAAATTAAGAATTAATACTTAGTATCGATAGTTAAATAGAAAATAACAATCAATTAGATAGATAAAATGATCCAATTACTGAATGGGAAGATTAGAAATTTCAATCTATTCTAAAGACTAATCATATTCCAATCACTTTACACAATTAAACTCAAGATAGAAAAAGATTTTATTCTAACAATGATTTTAGAAAAGTATCCTTTGATGAAAGTCTTAATACAGTGCATATATATTCTAAGGATAATAAAAAAGAAATCAAAAACTTTTAAACTAGTTTTAAACATAAGTAAAAACTAGACAAACCAGATCTTCCAAAATCCAAGAGATTTTCAAATAATAAAAAGAGAAAAAACTCATTTTGATCTATAATTAGATATTATTATCATATATTCTTAATATATAAAACTATATTATTCAATAATTCTATATTCAAACCATCTATTTATATAACTATTCTACAATTTCTATATTAACTATAAGTCTCTTTAAATAAATATTTATTAATTAAAAAGAATAGATTTCTTGAAAGAACATAAATTATAATAATAATTTTAGCGATTTAAAATTCAAATGAATAGAAATAATAAAGGTCCTTCAATTTCTACACTTGTACCTATACTCTAAAGATAATGTCCTACAGGTAGAATAACATTAAATGATATGTATATTTGGGATATGGGAGCAAAATTAGTTGCTTATACAATAAAAAATTATCGAATATTGTAATCTTGGATCTCAAAGGAAAAAATATTGGTCCTAATGGATTTATAGATATATTTTAAGCATTTAAAACCAATATTTTAATTTAAAAGCACTTGAATTACTTTATTAAGTTATTTCTATAAATCAATCTATTACTCATATTGATATATAGAATATTAGGTTGAATACAATATGTGCAGGATTACTAGCAAATATTATTAGAAATAATCCTTAATTTAGACTTTGGATCTCAGATGGAATGAATTGGGTAATTAATAAGCTTAAGTTTTTTAATTTATTTTTTTTTGATTGTCTTAAAAAATTAAATTTAAAAGTGGGACAATAATATTAAATAAATTTAATAGCAAAGGTCATTTACTAAAAAAGCTTTAGTAGAAAAATAATAAGAAACAGAAAAGAATATTAGAGATCTTGAGAAAAAGTATCTAAGATAAATTACAGAGTAATATTCTGATATGTTAAAAGATAAAGTTAGAATGGAATTATAAATAGAAATCTTTCTGTAGATAATTATCAATTAGAATAATTTTCATCTACGATCTATAAAGATTTAATATATAGAAAAGATCTTGAAAAAAAAGTACTTGGATAATTTAAAAAAATAAAAGAGAAAGAATTTAAAATATATAATCATGAAGTTGAATAGTTGAATAAAATTAATAATAATTTGAAAAATGATACTACTTATCATTCTAAATTTAAAGAAGTAATATATTAATCTATATATTTAGGATACAAGACAAAGAGATAAAGTTTTAGATAAATCATTAAGAGATAGTGATATTGAATATCATAAATTAGCTAAAGATATTAATAAATTAACTCAATTATTATCAGCTAAAATAACTAAATCAGTTTTATAAAGATTTTTAAGAACATAAAGTTTTTTGAAATATAACTAAAAATTTTTTTAAATAATTAATTGTTAATTACTAAATTTTATGTTTACAAAATAGAATTTAATTATGCAATCAATCCTTTTTATTCTCTTATTGATCTTTTTAAATTTATTCCTATATTTTTTGAAATTATGCTTCTTTTTCTAATGCATCATTAATTTTTTTTTATTTTTCAAAACCTTCAATTGCATTCTAATATAAAAATTATATTTATTACAAATAAATCATATGTTATTTCTTCATTCAATTCAAAAAATGCTAAAAATTTATACATTATATCTTTCAATGCACCAATTTTAAAATTAAATAATAACATATTTTATGCCATTTAAGTTAAAATAGTTAATATCATATTCTTTTCTACTTAAATTTAATCATTTTAACTATATTATAAATAATTATAATACTTTTATAATCTTTATTTCTATTATTAATCTTTTATTTTTTCATATATTTATTAAATAATACTTGTTTCCCATAAATCTCTATTTTCCCATACTTAATGTTTAGCAAATTCATTTGATAAAAAATAACATTTAGTTTTATTATTCTCAATTTTCTCTTAATAAAAAGTAAATGATAGATTCATTAATTATCTAGAAGTTCCTGCATCAAATGTATCTAAACACTAAATTATTTGAATTTAATAATACTATTTCCAATAATGAATTGAATAATTTAAGTACATTCTAAAATGCTATATTTCCAAGTTTAAATTAAGTATTTAATCTTTTATTTTATATTGCAACAATAATAAGCATTCTCAATTAATAATTATCTTTTGTTTTTTTCTTTAATTCTTAAAATACTTATATTGAGATTTCCTCTTCTTTCCAACAATCCTTTATTAATTTAGCAGCATAATAAGTTTCTTATTATTTTTAATCTTCTGGTAAAACATCTGTTCCTTATTCAATATTTGCAATAATATCATTAACAGATTCATCATTATTTAAATTCAATAATTCATCAAATTCCTTTTAAAAGAACCTCTATAAACTATTACTAATAAATGAATTCAAATGAACAATTTCAGTTTTCTCAAAAAGATTTGGACCTTCTTATTTAACATTATGAATAAATTTAGCAACTTCATCTTTAGGTTAGATTTCATTTATAACTTCTGTAATTTTCTCTAAATCATATTAAACATTTTTAGAATGAGATACTTCAAAGATCTAAATGAATATATATATAAATCATTTACAATCTATCTAATTAAAGTATCTTAAAATATGCCTATTCTCTTTTCTTCTTATTCTTACATTATATTTAATATTTCTTGCATTCTAGTTTTAGAATTTTCACAATTAGAATTATATTCAAATACAGATTGTTTATATTATTATTCAAGATCTAAATATTCCTTTTTTATTTGATTAACCTTATAATATTAATTGATTCTCTTTTTCTCTGAATATTCAGATAATAAATTATATACTACCAAAACTGTTGCATATTATTCATACTCTCTTTTCTTTTATTTATAATCTTAGAAACTCTATAATCTTTTAATTAAATAAATACTCTCTTAAATTCTTGATTTAAAAGTAAATTCTCCTTTTCCATTTTCTTAGCTTCTTCAATCAACTTTTTTGATGTCCCATTTTATTATTAAATCACTTATCTAAGTTACGTAATCAGATCCTCTCTTATTTAAGTACATAAACTCTAAGCTTAATATTACCTACTTGATGTAAGACTTTTCAAACAGAAAATAGGAACTTTATACATTCTATAAATCATTTAATATGAATACTGTGATTTCTCATCTAATTTCCCAATATTAGCCACTAGTTTTTCTAATGATTTTGCATATTTTTCTTCAAGATTTGCTCTCTCTTCAAACAAATCTATAATTTCTTCTATTATTTTTCGACCTGTCTAAGATTAATTTGCCACCTATGTAAAATATGAAAACAATAATTCTGCATAATTTTGTTGCATTTTTATTAATTAATTATCAATTATAACAAGTAATATTCTATAAGATATTTATAAACTTTACATCTTCTTTTATTCATTTTATTCTAATATAAACATAGAAATTCATAAAAATAATCTTCTATACTAATATGTTTATTAATTTTTTTATTTTCTAAATTTAATATTTTCATGGACGAAAAACTTTCACAATTAAAACTTTAAGTTGATTAATTAACTGAAGAAGCAGAATATGATTTTTAAAAAGGAGAACATTATAAACCTTAAGTTACATCAATTATTAAATAAATTGATTCCTTTATTGAAAATGAAGATTTAGAAAGTAATTTGAATATTTTATATTTTTAGTCTCAAAGAAACATAAAATAGAGCTATATTTTTTAAAAGGAAAAGCCTCTGATATTCTACCAGAATATTCCAAATTTGCTGAAGAAGCTCTTACAAAAGCAGTAAAAATTAATTCAAAATCATATTTAGATGAAATTAAATCCTTTTCACATAGACAGTTTAAATACTCTTGGACATATATTATGGAAGAAAAAAGATTTTCTTGCAGCTAAATAATGTTTTGAAACTGCTATTGAAAAAGATCCAAATAATATAAAATCATTATAATACTTATCAATTGTTTTGAGACAAGTTGGAGATCAAAAGGATAAGAGTGCAAATGTGACTAAATCATTAGAAATAGCTAAGAAAGCTTTAACTTTTGATTTAAAAAATGCCCAATCTTGGTATTTAGTTGGAAATGCTTACCTTTCTGATTATTTTATGAATCCAAAGAAAAATAATAATGAATTAAATCTTGCTTTATCTGCATACAATTAATCAGAAAAGAATTAAACTAGAGAAAATCCTGATTTATACTTCAATAGAGGAAATGTAATATTATATATTATAATAATCGTAGATTCATTGTTATTTTGAAGATTATCAATTAGCCTTCAATGATTATTAAAAAGCCAATAAGATAGATTAATCATTAACAAATGATACATTAAAAGAAGTCTAATAGAAAGTACTAAAAGTACATGATTTGGTAACTAATAAATGCAGGATAACATAAAAGAAGCTATAAAACATTGTCAAATAAATACCTATAGGATTAAGAGAATAGCCAAAAGGATTTGATAAACCTTTATAAATGTGTACTATAGGAGATCTTAAAGATGGGATAAATAAAGGACTTATTTTAGCTAGTAAAAGTTTGGTAAGTTATACACAATAAAATACTGTGCCTGCTGGATTTGTGATAGTTGATAGTAAATTAAATTTTGCTAGTTTATCAATATATAATGCTTCATAAGAAATTTATGAAAAAATTAGAGAATTAACAGATGTGTTTATAATTGAACCAGAAGTAAAGACTATTAATTGTGAAATAGATGGAAAAGTATAAATTATAGAGATTATTATAGCAAATATCTTATATGTGTATATAGGTAAAAGATGCAAATAAGATTTATGTTGAGAATGAAAAAATAGTGAACTAACTAGCACATTCAATGGTTGTTAATTAAACATTTGAGAAATGAGATTTTAATCTATATTATTTTTGATTGAAGTAACATAATGATTATAATGTATTTTCAGATATATGTTTAAATATTCAAACAATTCTCTATATATGAAATATATTAATTAAATTACTAAAAAGATTAAATGCTATAGGGTGAAGTAAATATTACAGAGAAAAGATAAATGAGAAGAGCAAGAACTAATTTTGAGAATGAAAGGTAATTTAAAGGTTTAATAATGATAGTGATGATCCAGAGAAAGAAAAAATGACATGTTATGAAAGTGTTTTAAATTGTTTTGGATCTTTTTTTGGAACCTTAAGAGCATGGTTACCATGTTGCTGTTGTTGTTGTCCATATCCATATTATGAAATAACATAAGGATAAAAGGGATTGTTATAAAAATTTGGAAAATATTAAAAGACTTTAGAACCTGGACTACATGAATTTAATCCGTAATTAATTTATATTATTCTTTAGTTTTACAGATAGAATTATTCCTGTTAGTACAAAGACATAGTAAGTCAATTAATTATAATATTATAGTATTATTGATTTAGAGAGATAACTTATTTTGACTAAAGACAATATAACTGTTAATATTGATACTATTGTATATTATAGAGTTGTAGATGTGTGTAAATCAGCATATAGAGTGAAAAGAATTGTTGAAGCTGTTAAAGAAATAACATACGCGGTAATAATATGTTGATTTAAGACTCTTCGAACAATTACTGGTGAACATACATTATAAGACATTATTGAGAATAGATAGAAGATAGCAGATGAAATAGAAGGATTTGTATTTGATGTTGTATCAGAATGGGGTATTTATTATTATTTATTTAATTATATAAGGAATCTATTTAGAACATGTTTTTATTAAGGATATGTAAATGGGAGATGAATTACAAAATTCACTTTCTAATGCACCTAAAGCTTAGAGATTAGCTTAGTCTAAAATCATTTCAGCAAAAGTAATTTTATGTTAAACACTAGAGTGACGTTGAGGCTGCAAAACTTATGAGAGAGGCTGCTGATATGTTAGATTCTAAAGCAGCTATGTAAATTAGATATTTTGAAACTATTTAACTTATTGCTAAAAACAAAAATCCAAAAATATTGTTCTTGTCTATGGATCAGACTTAAAAAAAATGATTATAGATAATCCCTATTCATAGATAATAAATAATAAATTATTTAATAATCGATCTAAATTTAACTAACATTATATTATAATCTAATAGTTTAAAATAAAAACAGAGTCTGATTTATTTTTTTGTAATTAATATCAAAATAATAATGAATTAAACAAGAGATTTGGAAATTTTAAATCACTAATTGAATAACTAAAATAATAAGATGTCTCTTTAAATAGAAGTCTTATCATAATAATTATACTTACTTCAAAAATAAATTCATTAATTATAAGAAAAGGCAGCAGATTATGAAAAATTAAAGGCTGAAAATATTATTCTAAAAAAAGACATTATGTATTTATAAGAACAAATTTAATCACAAGAATCAGAAT